ACACACACACACACACACACACACACACACACACACACACACACACAAAGACACAGGGTTGAAAGGTAATAGAATAAAAGAATAAATTTATTCAAATGTAACGTAATACATTTTTTGTCTTCATTAACATGATTCTGAGCAATATACTAAAGGTTACATTTCAATTTAATTTAATTGTGGTTTTAGCTGACTAACATAATAAAAAAAATAATAAAAAAATAAAACAAAATGTGACAAACAGTTGTAATGTGCATTAATATGAAAAAAAGACAAACACTGAGCTTTTTGGTTTTTTTGCTGATAATGGGGTTGCACACTTTCTCCAGCTCTTTCTGCTTGTGGTGGTACTCCTCCTTATCAACCAGCTGGTTGTTCTCCAGCCAAGCGAAGACCTCGTCACACTTCTCCACCACATTTTTCTTGTCCTCCTCGCTGATTTTGTCCTTCAGGTTGTCGTCCTGCACGCTGCTCTTCATGGTAAAGGCGTAGGACTCCAGGGAGTTCTTGGCTGCGATTTTGTCCCTCTGAAGGTCATCCTCGGCTTTGTATTTCTCTGCGTCCTGCACCATCCTCTCGATCTTTTCTTTGTTCAGTCGGCCCTTATCATTGGTGATGGTGATCTTGTTCTCTTTGCCCGTGCTCTTGTCCACCGCAGACACGTTCAAAATGCCGTTGGCGTCGATGTCAAAGGTGACCTCGATCTGTGCGACGCCTTGTGGTGCAGGCGGGATCCCCGTCAGCTCAAACGTGTCCAGCAGGTTGTTGTCCTTGGTCATGGCTCTCTCTCCTTCGTAGACCTCAATTGCAATGCCAGGCTGGTTGTTGGAGCAGGTGGTGAAAGTCTGGGTCTGCTTGGTGGGGATGGTGGTGTTGCGTTTGACCAGGGCCGTCATGACACCTCCGGCCGTCTTGATACCCAGGGACAGAGGCACCACTTCCACCAGCACCAGGTCCTGAACGTTGTCAGAGGTGTCGCTCGAGAGGATGGCAGCACCATGAACCACAACCTTGTCCGGGTCGATACTCTTATTCAGCTCTTGGCCGTTGAAGAAGTCTTGAAGCAGCTTCTGGATTTTGGGAATTCGGGTGGAGCCTCCCACCAGGATGACGTCATGGATTTGCTCCTTGTCTAGTTTGGCATCCCTCAGGGATTTCTCTACTAGCTCCAAGGTTCCCCTGAACAGGTCGGAGCACAGCTTCTCAAAGCGAGCCCTGGTGAGGGAGCTGTAGAAGTCGATGCCCTCAAACAGAGAGTCGAGCTCAATGCTGGCCTGGGAGCTGGAGGACAGTTCCCTCTTGGCCCTCTCACAAGCTGTGCGTAGCCTCATCAAGGCTGTCTTGTTCTGGCTGATGTCCTTTGTGTGCTTCTTTTTGAGCTCATCCACAAAGTGTTTCACCATGTGAGTGTCAAAGTCCTTTCCACCCAGTTGGTAGTTGCTGGCCGTAGACTTGACCTTAAAGGCGTGGTCTTTGATGGTGAGGATGGACACGTTGAAGGTGCCCCCACCCAGGTCAAATATCAGGACGTTCCTCTCCTCTGAATTGCCTTTTTCCAGACCATAAGCGATGGCAGCCGCCGTGGGCTCGTTAATAATGTTTAGGACATTGAGTCCCGCGATGACACCCGCGTTTTTAGTGGCCTGTCGCTGGAGGTCACTGAAGTACGTTGGGACCGTGATGACAGCATTGGACACCTTTTGTCCCAGGTAGGCCTCTGCAATCTCCTTCATCTTCCCCAGGACCATGTAGATCTCCTCGGGGCAGAAGCTGGGGGTGGTCATGCTGCCCTGGTCGTTGGGAAAGATTTCTACTTTCCCGTGCTGGAAAATCCCCACAGAGGAATAGGTGGTGCCCAGCTTGATGCCGATCGCTATGTCTTGAGCTGCAATCATTTTTTTAGCTTGTCTTGTCTGTAAAGAGGAAGAGAAAGCATCAAAAAGAACATTAGCAAATACTCATAGAAGCAATAATAATTTATGTTTACTGAGCACAGGACACAAGAAATACTATAAAATTAAGTCAAACTATGATTCTTTAAAATCATAAACTACTGTGATCCCAAAAAGTTGATTCTGAGACTGAAGAAGTCACTTGGGTGTTGGGTCGGTTCTAGACAGGCATATATGAGGGGCCAGACAGAAATCTACTGGTGGCAAATGGTGGCAATGGAGACGTGAAAGGGGCGGGGTTGTGGTGGTGGTCAGGTCTACCCTAAGACCTGACCAACTTGGGTGTCCCACCTGAAGGCTAAGCTTCTGCTGATTTAACTGTTAGGGACACTGAGGCACGCAAACCCAATGACCACATTAAGGTGGGAATCCCTCAGGGGGAAAACTGAAAAATAAAGCAACAAAAAATACAATAAAGATGTAGAAGAACAATACTGTGAATGCTTTTACAAGCATTCACACTAATTAAATATTCCTCATCAGATTAGAACAACTAAAACATTACACTTTCCTTGACTGGGTAGCCTATATCAAATATATTCGAACCCAACAATGACACTTTTCACTATTGCCAATATTAATAAAACTAAAAAGTGTAGGCCATATTTTTATTATGTTTTTTTAAAAAGAGAATTTCACAAAGTCTTCCTACAATTCTCAAATTAATTTGTAGAACACCCCAGATTGAGAATATAACTTTGATGACAGAGATTTGCTCCTTCATTTTGCTCTGCTCTGCCTACATAGAAACCTGACACCGGGTCATTTGCATACTAACAGTGATTGGATGTTTAGCTAGGGGGCGGGTGAGTGGGGGTTCTGTGCCGAGTGCGCACAAACAGAGCAGCGAGGGAAATAGCGAAGAGGTGAGACCATGTCATTTGTGCCTTTTCCAGCGGATTTTTCACCTACTGTAGTAAATCTTGTCCATAATTAGTTTGTGGGTAATCTATTATTTTCATTCTCAACTTCTAAAAGTTTGACTTAAGGGGGCAGGACGTTTATTATGTCCAGAAGAACACAATCAACTTTTTGAGATTTTCTTACCTAGATGACTCAGCATTTATCAAGTCAAACTACTACAATGTGTACAATATACAATGTTAAAAGAGTTGTCACGTTTTAAACATAACTAAATATATTTTTTAATCATCTATAAGTATTAATCATTGTATTTAAACAAAAATTCATGGATTTAAAAATAAATCAGTACAGTCTTCCCTAGTTCAATTAAGTCATTTAACTACACATGCATCATTGGGACAAGGTCTTATGCAAGACTAACCACAATGCTGAATTTTCTAGAAGGCAGCCACGATTTTGTCTAGGCGCTAGGTACAGCCATGTAAATTCACCTGATGTCTAAATCATCTTCAAATTGGCAGATTTTTAAATAAGGTTTGGCAGAATGGTTGCTTCAATCCTTCTTAATCAAATAGTGCTGTATTTACATTTTATAGTTGATACCAGAGTTTGCACTTACTGTGAAAGCACAGGAACAACGTTTAAGCACTTAAATATGAAATTAAAACCAAACCTTTTTTTTATTATTGTAGACAAATATAATTATTTAGTTTTAATTGAGCCATTAATTAAGCATAATTAAATGTGCTTTAAAAATATCTCTGAACACCAAATTCTATAAGCCCCACATTTAAATTATTTGATGATATGTAAAAACCATCAAATGTCATTAAATAGATGTCATTAAAATGGAAATGATACTTACCGTACCTTCGAAGGGTCGTTTCGAATGAAGATCTTGTGTTTTTGGGGTTTCTCTCTTCCAGCTTCTCTCTTCCGATCTAACCATCACCGTACTTTATACACTCATCGCTCTCTCTCGTGAGTTCTCGATCTTTCCATCTCATGATGACGTAATAGGCAGAGACGCAAACTTCTCTGCCATTGGGGTTAGACACAGAGCCGGACAAACAGGATTTAAGCACTCAAACAAATCCTTCCTAAGAGATTAACTACTGCCACTGACCCTGTGACTATTCTGTGAGGAAAGTGATGCAAGAAAAAAGTTTGATTATGAATTAATAAACAGAAATATATCAAGTGCAAACTTACAGGTTAAAATGAAAGAACTCGTTTACTTTGAGGTGTTATTCTCCTTCTATTCCACTAGATAACACCAAAGTAAGGAAGTTGTAATCAACAGAGAAATGTATAGAAATGTATCATCACATGACGTGTTGTCTGGATATGTGGCATTCCTCAGTGAAGACTCAACCACCTCAAGTACATGCTGGAAAATGCTTTAAGCTGTTTTTGGACCTCAGTACACAAACAATGAATGTTAATTCTCAGCATCTGTTAACACACAAGAGACTAAACTATGAGGTGTGGCTCCAAGTCTATGTAACTAGAAGCAGCTTCAATAACCGCACCTTATATGACTGAATGAACGTCAGAGAAAGGCCGAGATCAAACCTGCTCAGCTATATTTTATGAACTGCTGTGTGTGCTGTTAAACAAAAAAAAAATCCCTCGTGGGATCAATGAAGTATCTATATATCTAAAGTCTTTACAAATAAACTATTTACATAAAATGACTCACTCACACTGAGGTTGTTTTAGGATTAAAGAAATCAGTTTGTGCCTTTAAAGACCTTAGACTGTAAGAATCCTTTACCCTCACAAGCTACTAACTAGAGCAGGGCGATATGACCAAAAATATTTATCACGATATACATTTGAAAATTTGCGATAACGATATAACTGACGATATAATTGACACTAGACAAAATACTTTACAACTCCACAACTTTATTAGTGCAAAAAAACCCCATCAATGTATTTTCACTTAAACAACATGAAACATGAAATTTCCCCTTGTGGGACTAACAAAGGTATCTTATCTTATCTTAAGCACAAGCAGAATTTATACGTAAGGCACACAGGACTCTAAGCGGTAACTGATTTTAAGTGTGCCGTATTTTCCAAAAAACACAGTAATAACGACGGCCCGCTAGCATGCTCTACCAAAAATAGTGCTTTGCTGTGTATCTGACGGA